TGTTGCGTGTTGTATGTTGCATGTTGCATATGTTGTATGTTGCGTGTTGGATGTTGCGTGTTGCATGTTGGATGTTGCATACCAAGATTGATTATATTCATATGTAAGTAATGTCCGCAAACAAGAAAATATACGGGGAAAACGTGCAGACCAAGTTTGGTAAAACTCCATGCTATGGCTTTCGCTGATTGCATTCACATCTACCATAATGCATTTCGGGCTTGGTATGCAATTTGCAACAATACTTTTAAGGATTTTCTCTCTGGTTGTTTGGTATTCCTTGCATTCCAAGAACAACTTCAATCTTATTCTCTTTTCAGGTTCGTGAGGTCAGAGGTCAACTTAAAGAGATCATGCTTCAGCACAAGATCCCTCTCAAGTCTTGTGGTAATGACTGGGATGTGATTAGGAAGTGTATTTGCTCGGCTTACTTCCACCAGGCTGCTAAACTCAAGGTAAGTAGGAAAAATGTTTTCTTTTTTCCTTGAAAATGTATATTGTCTGCTCTGGAAAAAGTACTAGCTCTTCTCTTTGGTGGTGATGGTGATGGTGACTTGGTAGTAGTAATGCATACAAGACTGACCGTGGTGTTGGTAGTGGTGATGGTGAGAGTAGCAGGGAATGTCTGTAGTGGTTGTGATGATAATGTGTTGGGGTGATGATGTGTTGACAGTGTTGGTGGTTATAATGATTATGATAGTAATTATGATGATGAATCACAGTGAAGTTGAATGTAATGGTAATGATGATGGTGGTAGTGATGATGATGATGACGGTAATGGTGATGATGATGATGACGGTAATGGTGATGGTGATGATGATGGTAATGATGATGGTGGTAGTGATGATGATGATGGTAATTATGATGATGGTAGTGATGATGATGATGATGATAGTGATGATGGTGATGGTGATGATGATGGTAATGATGATGGTGGTAGTGATGATGGTGATGGTAATGATGATGGTGGTAGTGATGATGATGATGATGATGGTAATTATGATGATGGTAGTGATGATGATGATGGTGATAGTGATGATGGTGATGGTGATGATGATGGTAATGATGATGGTGGTAGTGATGATGATGCTGATGATGATACCTATTTACCCAAGATACCCACAACACACACAATTCTGATATTAATCCTGTATTATTGTCAGGGTATCGGTGAGTATGTGAACATGCGTACAGGCATGCCCTGCCACCTACACCCTACCAGCGCTCTATTTGGCATGGGATACACACCTGATTACATCGTCTACCACGAGCTCGTCATGACTTCCAAGGTACGTTACTAGAGAAAGTCACTTGATTATTCTTCATTATAAAATGACTGCTCTAAATCTCGCGTTCTGATTGGTTGGGAGTGAGTGCTTTATGAGAGCACATAGCACGCGCGCGCACTTTCAATTTCGTCATTAATGTTATTTGTGTTTTATAAAAAAAATCTTGCTTGCTGTGCTGTGTGCAGTTATAAAGCACTTGGGGATTGGTAGATCACTCGAGAAGTATCGAGAAGCACTCTGCTACGCGTCGTGCTTCTCCTAACACTTCTCTCGTGTTCTGCCAACCCCCGCGTGCTTTATAACTGCACATAGCATGCGCGTTTCTATTTTTTTTCACTTTATCGTAAGTGTTCGTGAATATTTTGATGCTCTCTGAGTAAATGATTCTGTAATGGAATGACAACGGATTTGAAAACGGTTGTCCTTGACGATTTAATACGTTTAGGTTTCTGGATCTTACATCAACTTCAATTTGTATTTACACATGATATAATGATGGCCAATTAGAGTGAAGACATTTAACCCGTGAAATATAAAGTGTCAGTCAACGTGTAATAGTCAAATAGACACAAGAGAAAACAATGGAATTAGGGTCTACTAAAGTGTATTAGTCTAATATCTATTGCACGGGTTTAATGACTTCACTCTACAAGAACGTGTATATATTTACAAACACAAAGAAAAGATTTAACTAAGAAATTCAAGTCAAATAAGAATAAGAAAATACAAACTATATATATAAATCATGAAACAATGAAAGCTAATTACAAAAAGAAGATATATGTACAAGAATAAAAGTTAATAACAATGATATCACTACTATACCTGCAGCTTTGGACCCTCCCCCCTCCCCTATCACTTTGGGAGGTGAATTTTTAATTTCTGTATAAACTATCGAAAAGGTTAATTTATTCATGATTGTTTTTGGCGCGCAAAAAGAATATTTTTCTCTTTTCGTTTTATCGCTCTTGAAAAAAATATAGGTTTGATGTTTTTATCCCTGCCTTTACCAAGACACTGCAGAATGAAGGAGACAATGAAATATTTTGAAAGAGTTTTATTTAGAAGACGTTTTCGTTTCTTAGGGCTATTAATAATAGTTACATTTATCAGTGAAGAGTGCACAGGTTTAATTTGAGAATGTTTTATTTGAGATTTAAAAAAGGAAAGCAAAAAACATCTGATACGCATCTTGTTTTCACTGAAACGCAAGTTGACAAGGAGAGTGATTAGATCAATCGTTAAGATCAATGATGGAAAATCAGATGTGCTTACCTTTCTGTTTCTTTATTGAAAACGATTTTCGACGAGAAGCTTGGGATCCATTATGGACCCCATTATGATGCTTACCACTGCTATCTCATTACTACAAAAAAAAGAAAAATAATAGATTATGTTACTTTTGAGTTCTTCTATCTACTGGTAAGCAAAAAAAAAAAGTGACGATAACTTACAGGAGGCATATTGTACATTTGTCCATTTCGAATGCTCTGTGAGCACATGCATGACAAAGCATGTGCCCACAGAGCCCTAAAGATATTTTTACATCGTTGCCACAAAGTGGTGTAGCACACGCTGTGGAGTGACATGTGAGTTGAAGTAGGTGATAAGGGAAAAAACAGTTTTGAGGATAAGATTGATGACACTTTGAGATCACTTACTCGATGGACGTGTGCTGGAAGACATCTTTTTGCAACTGTCGAGAGAGTACACCGAACGTGGTATCTTATGATGGGATTCTTTTCACCAAATATACCTCCCACCCACGTTGATGTCTAAGTGACCCTTATAATTTCCTTTCGTTGAAGTTTACATTTCTAAGTTACGATGACACGAATCTTCCCGGTGAGGTTTACTTTTTGGTATACAATGGTATACAAATATTTATGCATGTTTTTTTTGTCTTTTCTCGATGAATTTACACCTTAAACTATAGCTTTATATTGTATAAACCGATTTTTTCCCCATTCCTTCACTTGGGAGAAACGAGACTAAAGGCATGTGCGTTATGCTCAATGAGCACTTATATTACGTTTCTTCACCACTGTCAGATTTGCCTAAGCTTCATTACATTCTTTAGGTACCTACGTGTTGTCTTTAATCTACCGCTTTATTTCTTAATCCAAAACATGGGTCTTCCATGTCTTCTTGTCGCTTTAACATTTATGCTCTGTTAAACAAAATAATTTATACAGCGCTTAGCAAACAAAGATTGACATTTCTGCTTGACAAGCAGTTTTCGCTTCACTGCACTCTTGCCTCACCTCCATGTTTTGCTCGAATAATGTATACATTTTCGCATTCGCCTAACCCCCTTTTTCCTTCTTTTGAAGGAAGCAAAAATATTTTTTTTTTAAAATCTCAAATAAAGCATTTTCAAATTAAACCTGTGCACTCTTCACTGATAAATGTAACTATTATTAATAGCCCTAAGAAACGAAAACGTCGTCTTAATAAAACTCTTTCAAAATATCTTATTGTCTCCTTCATTCTGCAGTGTCTTGGTAAAGGCAGGGGAAAAAACATCAAACCTATATTTTTTTTCAAGAGCGATAAAACAAAAAGAGAAAAATATTCTTTTTGCGCGCCAAAAACAATCATGAATAAATTAACCTTTTTGATAATTTATACAGAAATTACAAATTCACCACCAAAAGTGATAGGGGAGGGGGGAGGGTCCAAAGCTGTAGGTATAGTAGTTATATAATTACATAAATAAAAGGGAAAGAAAAAAAAGGGTAAAAAATGTTATTAAATAAAAAGTTTAGCATTAATGGAGTCACTTCACTACTCTTCCCAGTAGACCGAGGCAGTTGGAATTTTTTAATGGCCTTCGTAGCGTCTGTTATGTTATCCAGAAGTGCATTTCAAATCGGCCACGTGATGCCAATGTTGTACCACGAGGACAAGTTTTTTACACCACGTGATTAAAACTTGACTGAATTTTGATCACGTGATGTAATAAACTTGTCCACGTGGTACAACATTGGCATCACGTGGCCGATTTGAAGTGTACTTCTGGATCACATAAAAGACGCTACGAACGCGTTGAAAAAAGCACGCGCAACTGCCTCGGTCTACTGGGAAGAGTAGTACAAAGAAAAGACAGGCAAAATATCAATGAACGATTGATATATTGTCTCATGATCGCAAATCTGTCTTTTAGGAATACATGCAGTGCGTCACGGCTGTGGATGGCAACTGGTTAGCAGAACTAGGCCCCATGTTCTACTCTATCAAAGAATCTTCTCGATCAAGAGCGGTATGTACCATTTACACCCCAAGCTTCCCAATAATCCTTTGCGATCTCCTATCTAAACTTATCGTACTTGAGATTTAGATTCAAAGAGACCTTAAGCACGACGTTTCTTGATATGTACCGTAAGCTTCCAACTGCAGTTCGACGTCGGGCGTTTTCCGTCAAACTTTAGACATTAGAGAGTTTTAGATTAACTTTTTTTTCTCCCGCAAACGGCAAACGTGACCACGTTTTCATAGTTTTCCTGTATTTTATTTTACTATTTACAAACCTTCTCACCAAGCGCAAATACTCTTTTGTTTTTCTACTACTTGGACTTTTTTGCGATTCTTTTTCAGTCATTTAAAAGAATTTTTTACTGGTCAACTGACGTTTCACGTTTGCCGTGAACGTAAATCTAAAACTCTCTATTAGGTAGATTAAGATTCACGTTTTTCCTTCCCGCAAACGCCAAACGTGACCACGTTTTCATCGTTTTCCTACATTTCACTTTACCTTTTGCAAAGCTTCTCGACAAAGACAAGTATTCTTTTGTTTATCTACTACTTGGAGATTTTTGCGATTCCTTTTCACTAATTTTAAAGAATTTTTAAATGAGAAGAGATAACTAGCTAAAAACTAGTGTGGGCTGCGTCGGTGTTTCTAATGAAACAGTAATGATAAAAGGGTAAATTTTACACCATGAAAAGATGAAAAAACTTACTAGTCCTTCGTCTAGCGTCCGAAACGTCAGTAAATTTTTTCATCTTTTCACGGTGTATAATTTACCCTTTTATCATTACTGAATTTTTTAATGGTCAACTGACGTTTCACGTTTGCGGTAAACTAGAATCTTTAACTCTCTACTTTCTATTAAGCAAGGCGTCATAACGAAGTTGTTGCTGGAAGAGCCGCCATTTTAAATTTCATTGATGCTGAATGTTCCTCCGTGTTCGTTTGCTTCATACCTGAGTGAATTCTTAGCTATTTTACAGCTAAATAGTTGATAGTTAAATACTTTTAAGCGCAACATGGCTAGTTGCAGAGCCCCATTTAAACCAGCTTTGCTGAACTGGGCATCTCTGCTTAAATATTGTCCATAAATAAATAAATGAATGAACTACTTCGAAGATACAGCGGCCATCTTGGATCGCAAGGCATTATGGGTCGTCCAGGGGGCAAATGAATCTTTGTTACAGTAATGACGTCGATTGATATTACAGCACTTCTCAATCACGCGCGCGAAATCCTACAACTTGCTGTTTCCACGAAGTAGGTTTTGGTGGATGTCAATCAAGGCGTTTCCATGACATTCCATAGGCACGTGCCCTCGAAAGCTTTGTGTTTTCCGACAATGTTATGGAAACGCTTTTGATGATAAGATTTCGTGTGTGTGATTGAGAAGCGCTGTAAAAGCTTACCACAAGAAAATACAACAAAAGATGAATTACCGTCGTTTGCATTGCTACGCGGCCACCCCAGACAAAAATCGCGACGTGCACTTTGTAATAGACTGCCGTCAATCAAACGCGTTGACGTCATTTACACGCGTTTGGATCGGCCCGGATAGGCCCGGTGAGTGTGGCTCATAGTACTTGTAAACAATCGACCGAAGTTTTGGCGCCTTTTGAATCACACGCGCATGTAAATGACGTCAACGTGTTTGATTGACGGCAGTCTATTGTTAAGTGCACGTCACGATTTTTGTCTGGGGTGGCCGCGTAGCAATGCAAATGGCGGTAAGACGGCACATCGATCACCTTTACTCATAAAAGAAAGACAAACACACGAAACTCTATATTTTTGTCATCTTTGTTTTGTTTTGCCCCCCCCCCCCTCCCCCTGGCAAGATGGCCGCCGTATCGTCGAGTAGTCCATTGTTTGCACTCTACTGTCGCTTATAGTGACTGATCGATATGTTTCGCGTAGGAAAATCGCCGGCGAGCTAAAGATCGAGCGACTGCGATGGAAGAAGAACTGGCCGCAGCAAGTGAGCAAATGAAAGTAAGAGAAGAGGAGAGACTCAACAAGATGACACCATCAGTAAGGTATGGAGATCCTAATACCAGTAGGATAATGTAAAGGTGCCGTAACACTAGGAAGTTTTCTTTATGTCGCAATAAGTTCTTGCTTAACATGCTCAACGTGCGAGATAGTTCAGGGCTCATCCAATAAAAATCGTGGATACGGCACGGGCGTCCGTACAGAGAGAGCTTTCCACAGTCATACATTATGTGTTCTAATGTGCGTAATGTAAGTAAATTTTCCCCATTTCGGACCACGTACCATTCTTTTGAGAATAAGACTATTTGTTCGAGTTGTATCCATATATAGCCCTCTTTACCTTTGGTGCAATGTTTTCCCATTTYAGACCATGTGTCATTCTCTTGAGAATAAGATTCTTTGTTTCAGTTGTATATATTCGTGCGTATTTTTATACACAACCGTTAGACGAAGAATTGATACTCTAGGGAATAACACGTGGTCTAAAATGGGAAAACATTTCGCCCAAGTTAAAGAGGTCTATTTGTGCGGGTTTAGGAGGGTGATGGGATGAGCGTAGTAGTAGCAATCGTTGGCAATAGGTTTCTAACAGAATATTTATCATTTTTTTGTTATCGACAGAACTCAGATTGTAACTCCTGGCAGAAGAACTCCAGCCACGCCCAAACGAACACCCAAACGATTCGGGATTTAGATGATATTTTCCAGTATGCGACTTTAGCATCAGAGTAGTATCAATGTACTATCTGAAAGCGCTTTAAAAAAATCTATATCATATTTTATTTTTCATGTATCATTAGATCTTAAACCACTACGCCACCCATGCCATACCAAATAGAGTGTGTGCAACCATGTAACTCAAAATCCCTTGAGATACAAATGACAATGAAACAGCCGCCATCTTGGTTGATCTAATAAGAGAAGCTAATGAGGAATGCTTTGTTATCGTCAACCAAGATGGCGGCATTAACGTAACATGCACATGCTCTATACGTAATGGACGTAATGTTTTCCCATTTCAGACCATGTGTTATTCTCTTGAGAATAAGATCCTTTGTTTGAGTGCCGTCCATATTCACGTGACACGTGGTCTGAAAAGGGAAAACATTACGCCCACGTGGATTTGGGCTATCACCAACTTCCAGTGGCAAGTTGTTTCATAGCCAGACTGAGATTACAAGAGTGCATACCATATGTCCGTGAAAAAGTTAACTAACAAAATCGTACAAATTAGTGCAAAGTTTTGTAGGTCTACGGTCTACTGAGGTCTACTGAACTTACTGAGTTGTGCAAATTAGTACAATTTCTTACAAAGTTTACAGCGTTTTTCACGGATATATGGTATGCACTCTACTAACAATCTACTAGACTCAATATACCCACCCGTAGTGCACGGTAGAATGTCTAATAAGATTTATTATGTATTTTATTGCTATCTATTGAATTGTACAGTTCAACTCACTATCGTCGATAATTTTTTTTATAATGAAGGAATGGAAACTAAATAAACGATGCTACATATTTATTAACCACATGCGTTTTATTTTCGTTAACAAATCAACTCCTTCAGGGGGCATTCTTTTTTCTTAGGAGGGGTAGAGGGGCACATATGCTAACAGCTATTCCTCCGACCCCTTTTTCCTTCTAAATCAAACTGCCGCATGGCAAACTCGTGGATACCATCTGAATCTCAATTTCTCTCTTGAGATATTGGGTACCCTGTGTTCCTCTTACGTCCTAGACTGCGATCGGTCCCAATTTTCCCTCTAGACTTAGTAAAGACGAGTATTTTAATTGTGATTCCTGTGGACGCGTGCGGAGTTTGGAGCGGGGAGAAGGGAGAGCCAATCTCCGCGCGCGTCCACACTAATCCCAACCAAAACACTCGCAATCTACCTACGTCCCGCTGTCCCGCTGACAAGAGCGTTGTGTTATACGTATTAAATTACTCTGTGTATATTGAAGTTTTCTTTGATATGGCTGGTCTGACAAATTATCTATTTACACTGTGAAATAAGCGGATATACTATTAAATTGTTTATGAATGTTAGAGTGCTCACACTAAATCCGTGAAACAAACACTAGTTTTAGCACTAAATAGTGATAATTAAACAATAAAAAACAAAGGATTCTGTATGAAATAGTACTAATTAGTACTATTTAATGTTCACGGTTTTAGTGCGTGCACTCTATTCAACTTGTCTTCATTCAATCTGTATGATAAGATTCATAGGTTTGTTGTTGTTCGCTGATTTTAGTACGTAAATCAGCAAAAAGGTCCCGGGGGGGCGGGGGGAGTACTCTTGCCCATTTAGGGTAGGGATGTGCCGCTGAGCCCTCTGAACTCTGATTCTGTTCCAAATTAAGATCGCTGAAAATCATACCCTGCTCTGGTATTGCGAAAATGGACACCCTGTTCCAGAGAGAGAGCTTGATTTCATATACCCTGTCCCCGAGCGAGCACGATTTTATATACCCTGTTCCAGAGTAGAATCGCTGAAAACCATACCCTGTTTGGCGGCACGTACTCGTATAGCGAATATAGGGGGGTATCCCACCCGGGAAAAAGGTGGACTGGACGTGTTCCCCTCTCCCACCCTCAAAGACGTTAAATTATGAAACATGGGCTCCCTGTGTTGCGGTCACTCAGTCCATCCATCACGTGACAGTTGGTAATGGCGTCTGTCTTGTTTATGAATATTCTATCAGTCTGTCGTTGTTGGCTCGTGTTTGGGATTCAATTCTGAAGTGATAATGTAATGCTAACAAGCCCAAAAAATTCTAAATTATAGACCGTTCACTGCACTAACGACTGAGCTGAGAATGTATGATCTGAGGGCTTAAAACGACGAGCTAATAAGATGTTAAACGTAACGCATCAACTGAAGAAAAAGGTTTGAAAAACAGTTTTAAAATGTCGTTACTCGAGCTAAATAATTGTTTACTCTTCGGTTCCGAGTCGTTTAGCTTATACAATTTCCACACTTGGATACCTTATTAACCGGGTTAATTGTTTTAGATGTTTTCTTGTGTATAAATTATTTTATTTAAGCTTGAAATTCGCGGAATTCGAATATTTTTTTCTCGAGCGATGATCAACTTACTAGACTAAATTCCGAACAATTTTTTATGTGTTGGTATTTGATATTCTCTCAGGCACTTGTATTTACTTACTTCAGCAATATTATGTGTTAACTAAGTCACTCGTTTATTCTTGTACAGCTGTTTTTAACAGACTTAGACGAACGGGAGTCGCCAACAAGTACTCGTAAAGTACTCAACAACCAAGATGTCTCGTCATCTTCAGCTTCCACCTCAGAACCACAATCAAAGGGACATAAATCTTTGCCAAGTCTTCCTTCTCCTGAAGAGGAAGAATCTATGAATCTATCCATAGCAAGGAAAAGATCTCCATCGAATTCAACTCCGCTTCCAGCGAAGGCTTACGGGCCTTATTTCCTCGAGTATACTTTAATGGCAGAATAGTAAGTTCTCAAGTGTCTAAGTTTATGAGTCGACTTTATTAATTTGTTTATGTCATAAGAAACCTTTATTTTTTTATTCCTTTGAGTTACATAACTATTTAATACTGCTTTTTAATATCTTAGTATGTGTTTCCGCTATTTTTGTGTGTGTTATTTTTCTAATAAAATAATAATAAGTGTAATCAGAGATGAAAGCATAGGTCATTTGCAAAGGTTGATCCAAGTGTCGTATCCCATTACGGGTATCAAGTACCAATTAATGAATATTATATGCTTTGTGTTTTTATCAGTAACCAGTTAAGGAGTAAAAGGTTACCAGGAGTCTATGTTTTACCTGCTGCTAAATCTCCACTGGGTGAGTCATGCTTTTTTATATATTTCACATTTTATTATGTAGCTTAGTTAGTACGTGCCCATTGATTGGTCAGGAGCTGTGCTGCATTACTGCTGTTTGCATTGCTACGCGGCCACCCCAGACAAAAATTGCAACATGCACTTTGCAATAGACTACCATCAATCAAACACGTTGACGTCATTTACACACGTGTGTGATTCAAAAGGCGCGAAAACTTGTTGATTGTTTACAAGTATTATGAGGCACACTCACCAGGCCTATCTGGGCTGATACAAACGTGTGTAAATGACATCAACATGTTTGATTAACTGCAGTATGTTGCAAAGTGCACATCGCGATTTTTATCTGGGGTGGCTGCGTAGCAATGGAAATGGCTGTAAGGCTCAAATACACAATGTGAGGTTGTCTATGATGTTGGTTACAGTGTATAAATCGTGATGTTTGTGTGTCCACCCATCCGGGTGTTGCATGCAACATTGACGCTCATATTGCACAAGTAGAAAGGAGTTTTACTTAACAACATTATGCGCAACAGCTGCACATAATGTTGCATGCTTTAAAGGTGCTGTTAAAAAGGACAATTTTAAACACAACAATTTAACGTTTGTCATTTTGAGTTGGGAAGTTTTGACTTCAGATCAAAAACTCGCAACATGTTGCCAAAGTTGAAGTTGCAATTAGAGCTGTGCAAAAATTTGCATTGCAAATCGTCTCATGTGACATTGCCTTAAAACTGCATGCACAAAGCACATTTGAATTTGCATTTTCTATTTCTTCATTAATGCATGGCTCAGAGTGAAAATGAGAGTCATATTTGCCCGAGACTCTCGTTTCTTATTAAGGTGAAGCTTAGAAAAATATTAAGAGTCTAAAGAAAACATAACTGATTGTTTTTCTATTGTTGTCAGTTTGGTATGGTGTTATTTTTATACGCATGGGCTCGTACCAAGATGGAGCATTCAAGTTCACCATGACTGTACCTGACAACTACCCTGATGGAGAATGTCCAGTGAGTAGTATTAAGGAGGCTGGAAAGTGTTTTGTGCCTTCACATACACTCCCAATTATGAACTAAAAAAATTTGATATGACTATAATGTGACAGCAAGTAAACCCGGAAAGCCAAAGACTATACCAAAGATAACTGAACATGAAAAAATGATGTAAGACGTTGCTATGACAACATCAGAACCCTTGGTATGCCATCAAAAATGTTTATTTAAAAAATCATAACTCAGGAACCAAATGGGGAAATTTTTTAAAAACCGGAATATTTAAACTTTGTATCGTAATCTTCTTTTTGACAAAAAAAGGAAAAATTCTGTAAAAGGGAATATCGTAAAAATCAATAAAATTTGTTTGGAATGGTTCCCTTTTACAGAATTTTTTAAGATTTTCCTTAAGTTTTTGAAAACATAAACTAAAGCCCTTTGCAAAATCTGAAGAAATTTCACCGCAGAACTTTTGAGTTTTTTCAGTTTGAACATTAAAATTTATGACTACGAAAATTTTCCTTTCACAAGCTCCATGTCATTGGACCTAGAGCACGTACGCACTCAAGAAAAACCGTTTCGAGCCTCCTTAAGGTGTGAGCAATACTCCAGTTTCACATTTAATGCATACCACTGTTTTTGAAGACTACAGACTCATTTGCACAGGCTTAGCCTGGTTTATAAGTCAGCTATTCACAGGCACCATTGAAAGTCTGTGGGATTTCAAAACATTGGTATTGTTCAAGCTGCACATTCTTTACATTAGAGTTAACATTTGCAAATGATTTACTCTTAAGGGAGGCTAAGCCTGCGGAGATGAGTCTTCAGTCTTAAAACATAGCGGTATTTATGGAATGAGAAAAGGGAGTATTGTGCTTACCATTACCCAAGTTCAAATTTTAGTAGTTTGTAAAAAAAAGTTTTATCAAAACGAACTGCAGAAATAGGTATCCTGGCTTCTTGATGATAGTATTGTTGAAAGTCTATAATCATTACGGCATGACATACAAAAGTATGACCACATTTAATGTATTCACATACTTCTATGCACAGGCTTTTTGGTGCCAAACAAGCTTTTAAATGCCTTTTGTGATAAAACCAGCCAGATTCACATCAAAATGTGTCAGTTTAATGTACAAAAGTCTATGCAATAAAGAATACAAATACATTGAATGTATTAAATGTGGTTGATTGTGGCCATACTTTTGTGAATTGCGCTATATAGTTGCCCAAGCAAAATGCAATATTCTTAATGTTTGTTGACTCATACCATTTTACAGTGCTTCTCAATCACATGCGTGAAATCGTACAATTTACCGTCGCAATGAAGAAGGTTTTGGTGGACGTCAATCCAGAAATTTTCATAACATTCCATAGGCACATGCCCTTTGTGTTTTCCGACAATATCATGGAAACACTTTGATTGACCTCCACCAATACCTTATTTTGTCGTGATAGAATTTTTTACGATTTCACGCGTGTCATTGAGAAGGGCTGTAAAGATAATATATCATTAATAGTAAAATAATGAACTTCTTCATTCAAAAGAATTATAATATATTCCTATGCAATAACCTTTCATTTTTACTTTCTTTCTTAATTAGAAATTAGTATTCAAGCCACCAATCTTTCACCCAGTAGTAAATATAGAAACAGGAGAGCTAGATGTAAAAAGAGCATTTCCAAAATGGAGGTAAGAACTAATACCCATGAAACTTTAATTTTTCATAACCCAGAGAAATGTCTTGGCTGATAAAACCCTGAAACAACCTCTGGGCTGATAGAACTCTGAACTAACATCTGGGTTTATGGGTACCAGAGGTTGTTTCAGGGTTCAATCTGTGAGTTAGTCATGCCCTGACTTAGATCAGCCCAGAGGTTGTTTCAGGGTTCTATCTGTGAGTTAGCCATGCCCTGACTTAGATCAGCCCAGAGGTTGTTTCAGG